TTAGGGTTTTTATGTACAATATCATGTCATTTACAAACAGAGACAGTTTAATTTTCCCTTACCTGTCTGGATGCCTTTTATTTCTTTGTGTTGTCTGATTTCTGTGGTGAGGACCTCCAGTACTATGTTGAATAAAGTGGGGAGAGTGGGCATTTTTGTCTTGTTACTGATCTTAGAGGAAAAGCTTTGTTTTTCACTGTTTAGTGTGATGTTGACTGTGGGTTTGACATTTATGGCCTTTATTATGCTGAGGTACTTGCCCTTTATATCATTTTTTGAGTTTTTATCATGAATGGATGTTGAATTTTCTGAAAAGCCTTTTCAGCGTCTATGGAGATGATCATGTGATTTTTGTCCTTTGTGTTGACATGGTGTATGAGATTGATGGATTTTCTAATATTGTACCATCCTTGCATCCATGGACTAAATCCCACATGACCATGATTGATGATGTTTTGATGTATTTTTTAATTCAGTTTGCTAATATATCATTGAGGATTTTTACATCTCTGCTCATCAGGGATGTTTGTCTGTAATTTTGTTTTTTTGTGGCATCATTGCCTGGTCTTGGTATTAGAGTGATGCTGGCCTCATAGAATGAGTTTGGAAGTATTCTCTCCTCTTCTACTTTTTGGAAAACTATTAGGAGGATGTGTATTATGCCATTACTAAATGTTCGGTAAAATTCAGCAGGGAAGCCATCTGGTTCAGACATTTTGTTCTTAGGTAGTGTTTTTATTACCAATTCAATTTCACTGCTGCTAATTGGTATGTTCAGATTTTCTGTTTCTTCCTGGGTCAATCTTGGAAGGTTGTATTTTTCTAGAAAGTTGTCCATTTCTCCTAGGTTATACAATTTGTTGGCATATAAATTTTCATAATATTCTTAATAATTCTCTGTATTTCTGTGTCTATAGTGATTTTTCCTTTTTTCATTATTTCCTTTTAATGTTAAGCATTTATTTCTGCTAATAGCTTTATTCACATAATTCACATACCATTAAATTTGCTAAACACTAAAGATAGTACATGATTATTTGGTAAATTCTTCCACTCAGAAGAAAGAGTTTTTTAATGGCTTATCAAATATAACTGAGTTGGAAGGGACACTAACAAAATAGTGGTCTAGCAGTTTTCAGCCCTCATCTTCCCATAATAACGTACTGATTTAACAACTGGTCAAGTATAAATATAACTCTGGGAGAGCTCTGGCATACAATTATAAAGCTACATCAAATCTGAGGAATCCAAAGAATGGCATGGTTACACAGAAAAGCATAGGAGACATTTGTGCTGTATCAACCCAGCACTCAGGTAAGCCTACCTTGGTGGTAAGAGAGATCTCTGTGGGAGATGAGGAGTGCAGGAGGGATTGAGCAGCGTTTACTACTGAGGATCAGCAATCCTTACGGGCATATCAAACAACCATACCTTTCACCACCAATAACCTGCATGACCTTTGCAGATGCTGAGCCTAGGTGACAGGGCTGCTTGGAGTCTGTACCACTGTGGTTTGCTGGATGGAGAGCCATTCTTTGCACATCCCAAACCTGAGTGGCTCCACCCATAAGCATCCTCCCTCCCACAACCACATGAACTATGTGCCCTGGAACCCAACACTGCATATGCTTTATGCCTTACATCTTGGTGTAGTCAACACCTACATATATATATAACAAAGCTGACATCAAGAGGTATGCGCTCAGCTGTGACTTCTCCCAGTAGGGAAAAGAGCAGAATTCCAACAGCCTTCCTCACTTCACCAACAATGACTTCAGCTGATGGAACTACTAAATTTCATGTTTTCTGTGTCTATATAGTCTCTTTAGACTTAAGGACACACATAGGCTGAATGTCATGTAAAGGAAAAAATATTCCATGGAAATGGTAACCAAAGGAAACCAGGTATGGATATAGTTATATCTGAAAATATAGTCTTAAAGTCAGAATCTGTCAGAAATACATAAAGAAGATTATTATATATAGATCAGTTATATTCTACAGAAATACATTATAATTATACATACACGCATACCCAGCAACAGGTCACATACATTACAATGCAAATGTAGATGTATTTGAAGGGAGAAAAGTATAGCAATATAGTAACAGTAGGGAACTTAACTAAGTCAGGAAAGGGCTGCAGACTTGACCAACCTTATAGACTAAGAGACATAAGGGAACTAAGAGACATAAGAAAACTTAGCACTGAACAACAAATGGATGTACATTCTTCCCATGTCCCTGTAGGATATTTCCAGGATAAATTGTATATTACATCCCAGAACAAGTCAACAAATTTAAGAAGATAGAAATCCTTGCAAGTATCTTTTGGGCCATAATAGCATGCCACTAGATAGCAGTAATAGTGAAAAATGGGAAAACTAACAAATATATGGAAAGTCAATGTACAATCCTGAGGAACCATTAAGTCAAAGAAGAAATCACATGGAACCTAAAGTATCTTGGGATAGATAAAAATGAAAATATAACATGCCAAAAATTATGTAATCATTTAAAAGCAGTTCTAAAGGAACATTCATAACAGGTATACAAAAGGTGAACAAAGATTTGAAATAAAAAGCCTACCTTTATTTATGAATGAACAACAAAAAAAGCCTAAAGTTAATGTAAAGTAATAAAGGTAAGAGCAGAAATAAATCAAATAGAGAATAGAAGAAGCAATAAATCTAAGATTAAATGTTTTTAAAAAGTATCAAAATTTAAAATTGCTTTTGTAGACTGAGAAAAAAAGGGAGACGACTCCAATATATTGTTAGAAGGTATTATAGTAGATGACTCAAAAAGCAGAAAAATCACAATGTACTATTAAGAACATCAGATGAGAACAAACTGGATAACCTAGAAAAACAGATGAGATCCTAGAAACACACAAGCTACCTAAACTGAATAATAATTAGAAAGCCTGAAAGCACCAAACACTGAAAGATTGAATCTGTAATCAGAACCTCTCAACAAGAAAAGCCCAGGCTCAGATGGCCTGAGTGAATAGTACCAAACATTCCAAGAAGAAATGATACTAAATAACCTTAAAATCTTCGAAAAAAATAGAAGACATGGGAACATTTCTTACATCTTATTAGGCCAACACTGGAAATATTTTGGAAAACACAAAAATTAAAGGAAATAAAAGTCTGATGAGTCTCACAATGGAAGATCTGCCAAAATTTACGAAAACACAAAAAATGACAGCTGACATTGGCAATTTACCATAGACCAGGCACTCTCATAACCTTTTGATTTTCATTTTTTCATTTAATCATCATAACAGCTCATTGAAAGAGATGTTATTTTCACCACACCTTTTTGCATAAAAGAGCCAGAGGAAGAAAGAAATTAATTTTCCCAAGGTGTTACTGTTAGTGAGAGTGGGAGCAGGACTCATACACACACCCACTAAGTCTTTAGCCCCTTTCTGTTTTGTGATGAGAAGAAATAGATGATCTTGGCCACTGAAATGTTTCATAAATGATACAGCATTGTGAGGTAGAAATTTCCAGTAGGTGTTCAAAAGTTAAGTTTTTGGAAGAAATATATGACATTGCAAGTTATTTTAGAGATATCACAGGAGACAAATGAAGTGATACCCTGCATCTTGAAAATTTTCAGGTAAAGAAACAAAATTCCTGGAATCAGAACCCTTGCAGAAAATGTTCCACTCAGGATCTGGGAAGAAAGAAAGAACAGCATACATTTCACTTCTGAGATGATGATGAAAGGGAGATGGGAGTGCAGTTTTGAGTCTGTCTTGGGAGATGGGCAATCCCTACAGTGAATGGAAAAATGAGTAAATATTGAGTCCCTAAGGACATAAAGACAGATCCATGGCCCAGGGTGTAATATACAATCCTGTTATTTCCATTTTACTCCCCAGGGGAAAAGACTCAGCAAGCTTCTACCCTGTTTATAACTAGATGAATTATATCATAAAATTCACGTTCAATCATCTGTATCTTAATAAGTGGCAAATATGATAGCAATAAAGACCTTATTTTTCTCTGCTGTTTAAAAGGACCCAAAGTCTTATTCTGAAATTATGGTCTCTAGTTCAGAAAGATTTCCAACGCACGTCTGAGATAAAGTCTATAGAATCCTCTTAGAATCAAAAGAACCAAAGTCTCAGAGCCTGAAATTGCCCTTCCAGGCCCTCAGGGGTGAATAACGATGATAAGAAAGCACTGAGGTTATCTGGCCTAAGGAGGGTGAGTTCTTCATTTCCATTTACAAGTGACACTATCTCTCCCTTTACAGGAGACATCCCTCTTGTTGTCAGATGGATATGTAGGGACACTTAATACACCACTTTGCTTTTCCATTATGTGCAGTTATGAGATTAAAGTAAAAGTGGAAGAAGAGTCTGTTTGAGGTGAGACCTCTGAATGGTCAGACATTAAAGGGCTCAGGGTGTGCAGTATCTTATTAAGATCCCTCTCTTCTATATTTACGGCTTTCACTCTGTGGTTTAAGCAGTACCTTAACCTCTCTAGGTGTGATTCCTCAGTGTTATATTAGAAGCCATGTTCTTGGTTCCCCCACTGCCAAGTCTGAGCTGAACTACAGGGCAGCACCTGGATGTAGGGATCCCTGCCTCCAATATTACTGGTGAGAGGAGGGTTCAAGTGAATGAGGACGTGGTGAGATGAGAGTAGGACAATCTGTCCTGGCGTGTCCTTCCTCATCCCTTCTCCCTTGGTTTTCTCAGTAGCCATGTCTGCATAGGGCAGCACCTGCCTTCCTTCTGCTGCCTCATTTTGTGATCCCTTGTTACATTGATCTTATAAAAGGCTGTAATAAAGGGAGAGATAGTGTCACTTGGGATCATGATATTGTTAAAGGAAGATTTTACAATGGTTCAGATTGGATTATTGCCACATATCCCCAGCCTATACGTCTTCTGTAGGAAGAAATGTTATGAGAAGAACTGGTTTTCCTTTAATTTAAACCCTTTTTACTGTGCTCACAGATTCGCTTGGAAAAGAATGGCTCCTGGAAATGGCTCTCTCACTGTTGAATTTATCCTACTGGAATTAACAGACAAACCAGATCTCCAGCAGCCCCTTTTCTGCCTTTTTCTAGTAATGTATATGCTCACGGAGTTGGGAAATTTGTGCTTGATAATTCTAATTTGGCAAAATTCGCACCTTCACACCCCCATGTACTTTTTCCTTTTTAACTTGTCTTTTATAGACTTCTTTTATTCTTAAGTATTTACACCAAAAATGTTGATGAATTTCTTACCAGAGAAAAATATTATCTCCTACATAGGGTGTCTGACCCAGTTCTGTTTTTTCTGTTTTTTTGCTAGTTCTGAATACTATTTGCTCACATTAATGACCTATGATCGCTTTGTGGCCATCAGTACCCCACTTTTATATAATGTCTCCATGAACCCTAAAGTGTGTTCCAGTCTTATGCTTGGTACATACTTCGTGGCATTCTGTGGTTCCATGGCCCACACTGTATACATGCTGAGACTGACCTTCTGTGATGCCAACACCATCAACCATTATTTCTGTGACATCCTCCCTCTCCTCCAGCTCTCCTGCACCAGCACGTACGTCAATGAGCTGGTGGTGTTCATTGTGGCGGGCATCAACATCTTTGTGCCCTGTCTCACCATCTTTGTCTCCTATGGTTTCATCCTCTCCAGCATCCTCCGCATCAGCTCCACTGAGGGCAGGTCCAAAGCCTTCAGCACCTGCAGCTCCTACATCATTGCTGTTTCTTTGTTCTTTGGATCATTTACTTTTATGTACCGCCAACCTTCTTCTGCTGGGTCCATGAATGTGGGAAAAATCTCTTCTATCTTTTATACCAATGTGGTCCTGATGATGAACCCTTTAATTTAGAATTTGAGGAACAAAGATGTTAAACTTGCTCTGAGAAAAACTCTGAGTAGAAGAAAGTTTTGATCAGAAACAGTGTCACTATGTAGTTGATTATAAGATTGGTATATTCTGTTTATTATAGTAGTTTATGTGAAACCCTTTTTACCATGTTGTAGTAAATTTGAATCTTGTCTCAATTTGTTTTCTGTTTTTTAATGGTACACTTTCCTGCCTCACTGTTTTTACAATATCTTCTTTTTCCTCTTTTACCAGATTAAAAGGAACAATCAAACATACTTTTTTCCCCCATTGTCATCATGGAGTTTGTTTTTTCTTATGGAAAAAATTAACAGAGTTGGAAATGATTTAGAAAACTAACACTAGGTTAATATTTGATGTTGAATTCTGTCAAATGCTTTTTCAGCATCTATGGAGATGATCATGTGGTTTTTGTCCTTTTTGTTGAAGTAGTGGATGATGTTGATTGAGTTTTGAATACTGAACCATCCCTTCATCCCTGGAATAAATCCTACTTGGTCATTATAAATGATCTTCTTGATGTTTTTTGAATTTGGTTTGCTAATATTTTGTGGAGTGTTTTTGCATATATGTTCATCAGGGGTATTGGTCTGCAACTTTCTTTTTTTGTGGTGTCTCTGCCTGGTTTTTGTATTAGTGTGATGCTGGCCTCATAGAATGAGTTTGGAAGTATTCCCTCCTTTTCTTCTCTTTGGAAAACTTTAAGTTGGATGGGTACTAGGCTATATCATTAAATGTTTGGTGAAATTCAGTGGTGAAGCCATTTGCTACAAGCATTTTGTTTTTAGGTAGTTTTTTTATTACCAGTTCAATGTCATTGCTGGTAAATGGGTCTGTTCAGATTTTCTGTTTATTCCTGGGTCAGTCTTAGAAGGTTGTATTTTTCTAGAAAGTCATCCATTTCTTCTAGGTTATCCAGTTTGTTAGCATATAATTGTCTTTATTCTCTAATGCTTCTTTGTATTTCTGTGGTATCTGTGAAGAATTTTCCTTTCTCATTTTTATTCTGTTTATGTGTGTAGACTCTCTTTTTTTCTTGATGAGTCTGGCTAGGGATTTATCTCTTTTGTTAATTTTCTCAACCGCACCTGGTTTTATTGATAGTTTCTATTGTTTTATTATTCTCAATTTTATTTATTTCTTCACTGATCTTTATTGTGTCCCTCCTTCTACTCACTTTGGGCCTCTTTCGGCCTTCTTTTTCTAGTCTCACTAATTGTGAGTTTAGACTGTTCATTTGGGATTGTTCTTTCTTTGGGGGTAAGCCTGTATTTCAATATGCTTCTTTCTCAGCACAGCCTTCACTATGTGCCACAGATATTATGTTGTTAAATTATCATATTTTTGTTTGTGTTGATATATTGCTTGATCTCTCTTTTAATTTGTTCATTGATCCATTGATTATTTAGGAGCATGTTGTTAAGCCTCTATGTGTTTGTGGTTATAAATGCTTAATTTTATGATAATTGAAGAAATATAATTTCACACAATTTTTATTTTCACAGTCCAGTAGGGTCACAAAAATTTTTGATTAGAGCTCTACTTAAACCATAAGTGTAAAATAATCCATAAGCAAAACATGAGAATTAAATCTCTGCAAATGGGGTGCCTCTAAGTACAGGCTGTCTCACACAGAAGAGTACCCCCATATGTAGTGTAGTGCATACAGAACAATACAGACCACCACAGAGCAGAGACAATTCTTTATTAAACCAATGGAAACTTTTCAACAGTGTCTGTGTGAGTAAGAAAGTCCATGTACAATCCCAACTGATGGATTTGTGGTATATTATGTATCACTATACTTAGGTTATTGGTATAGCAAAGACGGTACAGATCTTATTGTATGTTATATAAATTTTATTTCTGAATCCTGTCTACTTTCTTCTTAAAATGTTTCCTTAAAGATAAACTTCATCATAATTTATATCATTAATGAAAAAAATGTGAAAGTGTAGAATATGGATATATTTACTTAATGAGAAAGGACTGTGCTTCAGTCATGAGAATTGTTGCAAAACATAAAGATTGCATGAGAACCAGGTATCACAATTGTTCTTCAAGGTGAGAGGCAAAGCAACCGTAAGTCATCTTGTGTTGTTGTCCAGAGTTTTTGGTTAGAGCCTTTTGTATTTCAACTGCCTGCTGAAGAATTGTTCCGGGAGATCAAGAGAGACTTGAGCCTGAAGGGGAAAGTCAGCTATTCTCAGTTGAGTACAGTGGACAGCAAATAGGTAGTTGACCCCTGTCTTTGTATGTATAGGCACTAAATCATTTTATCATTTTTTATCTTTCTAAAAGTAGGTTTGTTTGGAATTGCTAGGAAGTTAGTATAGATTATTTGATTTGTAAAAGTGATAGTGATATGCGATAATGGAAAGTTGTGAAAATGAAAATGTTAGCCATACTGTTTGGAATAATAAAGGGAAAAAAAAAGGAGTTGATAGGGACAGTTACGTAAAATAAGGGCCAAGGAAAAGAGCTCATTCACCACTGACTCTGAGATTAGGAAATGTGAAAACATTAACATTACTTTGACAGAATCGGTCTTGAATCTATCAGCTGACATTCCTAAATTAGTGAAGTCTGCTATTGTTTTAATTTGTTCTTGCATTATGTAGGCAAGAAGCTTCTCATACCCTATCATTGAGGGTAAAGCAGGAACGTTTCATTAGTTCTTAAATTTATGAAATTCTTTGTATTCAAGGAGAGCTCACATCATATGTAATTGTGTTCATGAATTGTGAATCTTGCTTATTGAAACTGAAATTTGGGATTGTAGCTCATTAAAAATACTGTGATTTAATTCAAACAATGAGATAAGTAATTGTGAATTAAACAGTACAGAGTGAAAGATTGCCTTTCACATTGTAATTGATGTAATTTTGTTCCTTGACCATTCTTTTCCCCTGCCTGAAATCGGTACCTGCTGCTTTTCCCTATCCTATTTTCTACTGGTTCTTTCTTTTTGCAGAACATTTTCTGATTCCTTAACACAGGGTGAGGGTTTCCTTCTTTGCTTGCATCCCTTTGGTGTTTGCTTCTACTGGAGCGTGTATCCCAGTGTATTTAAATGCCTTTTGCATTCATGTGTCAAATGTAATAAAGTGATTTCTCTCCCTTAAATGAGTCGATCTTTGCATAGAGCACATATTCAGAAAGTATGGGTAAAGAAAACCATTTTTTAATGCAGACATACAGAAGAAAATGAGTTAAATAATACTAGAGTTTCTCACTGATCTGAGATTGGTAGATAATAGTCACTGATAATGGCAGGTGGAATTGATGTATGAATCTGAGGGTTTCCTTGTTTGTTCAGTCAGGAAACCTACTGCTATAAACCTTGTTATCTTAGGTACCCTGAAGCCAGATGTCTATTTTCATGCTACATATCATCCTCACATTTGTGGACTGCTCAGGGTAACATGTCCATGTAAAAGTCATAATACATATATATATATATACATATACAAATATATATGTGTGTGTGTGTATACATGTACAGCTGTTTGTCATACTTTCATTTCCAAAATAGCCCTGGAGCCTATAGTCAAGCAATATATCATATTGTAGATGTGTTAGCTAGTTTTGTATTTCTGCCAAGTGAGCTTCACTGACTGAAGAGTCTTAGCTCCCAATTGAGGAATGTCCTGGGCATCTCCTCCCAGAAAATATCTCCATTTCTTATAAAGTATAAGAGCTTTAGAGAAAGCAATTACTTTGCTAACTATTAATTCTTCAGGTTTTAGTACCTCATGAGTGCTCAATGAATTTCTTTGAATAAATAGTGGCTGAGCTATGGTGCTTCTCATGGTTGTAGTGAGTCTCCAGAATTTGGCGTTTGATATCAGATTTAATATGGTGGCTTCCTGATTTCGTCGTGCACTTAATTTTTTATTTGCACATATAAGCAAAGTGCAAAAAAAATATCTTTAAGTAAGTTCTGAGATTCACAAGATAGAAAACAGGCATTTTATCCCTAGTCATAATATATTATTTATTGAAAGGGTTAAATATAAGGAAACCATAGGAACTGTGTAATGAAAAAAAACATGGTATTTGAATTTGTTTCTACTTAAGCATTATCCATCTTTATCACTACATGGAGTTTCCATATCTAAGTCACTGTTAATTTCATTCTTTCCTCCTATTCAACTTTGACTTAGAAGTAGCCTTAGAAAAATTTTCAAGGTGTTTATACAGAATTAGTATTAATTGTCTCTAAATATTTGGTAGAATTTAACAGAATTTAGAAAGAACTTCTCAGGGCTTAGAGTTTCTTTTCTGGACAAAAGTGTTTTTCTGTTTTATGTTCTTGCAACTCTCTAATTTTTTAGACCTGTTGGGGGTCACAGGAACATTGAGAGGAAGTACAGTGATTTTCCATATCCTCATGCTTCCACATGCACAGTCTCCCATCCTCAACCAGCAGATGGTAAATGTTACAATTGATGGCCTTACATTGACACATCACAATCACCCCACATCCATACTTCTTCTGGGGGGGGGGGGCGGTATGGTGTTTTATATTATATGGGTTTGGACAAATATGTGCTGACATGTATCCATTATAATTGTATCACGCATAGTATTTAACTGTCCTGAAAATCCTCTGTGCTCTGCCTGTTCTTGCTTCTCCCACTGACACCACTGGTAACCAGTGATATTCTGTCTCCATAGTCTTTCATTTCACAGAATGTCATATAATGAGAATCATTCAGTATGTAGTTCTCTCAGATTGGCTTCTTTCATTTAGGGATATGCATTTAGGCTTCTCTATGTCTTCTCATGGCTTGGTAGCTCATTTACGGTTAGTAATGAATACTAGTTCCATTGTCTGTATGTACTATAGTTGATTTATCCCTTCACTGACGGAAGGCCATATTGGTTGCTTCCAAGGTTTGACATTTATGAATGAAGTTGCTATAAATATAATGTAGAAGTTTTCAAAAAAAGTCTTGTGCGTAAATTTCAAGGTGCACCACTGCGGGACCACATTTTTGTTTAGTTTTGAAGGGAAGTTCCAAACTGCCTTCCGGAGTGTC